ATATTCTGTCACATTACTGAAAAAGGGAAAATAACATCTTTGTGAAAATGCTACATATTTCATAGCATCCTTTCCTCACTTATCAATGTCAAGCAAGTTCTCTCTCATAAACCCCAATTTAAATTGTTTAATTGCACATGTGATCACAACTCATTTAACCTTCCTGATATTTGAAGCGTTTTTGCTATTCCCAATTCTTCACTCCCTTAAATAACATTTCTGATAACGTTTATATGAAAAATTTTGTCCACATTTCTAATTTTTTTTTCCATAGCATAGAATCTGGAAATGGAATACTAGGTTCAAAAGGTATAATCATTCTTAAAGTTCTCAATAAGGAGCTCTGGTGGCACAGTGCCTAAGGCATTTGATTGCTAACCAGAAGGCTGGCAGTTCAAACCTACCAGCCACTCCTCACAAGGAAGATTGGACAATCTACTTCCTTAGAGACTGCCTCGGAAACCCAAGGAGGGGTTGCTATGAGTCGAATCAACTCAACAGCAGTGATATATTAAAGGTCTTAATCCATATTGCCTTAGGAGCTCTGGTAGCATACTGTCTAAGGCACTTGACTGCTAACCAGAAGGCTGGCGGCGGTTCAAACCCACCAGCCACTCCTCGGAAGGAAGATGGGGCAATCTACTTTCCATAGTGATACCACCTCGGAAACCCAAGGAGGGGTCGCTATGAGTCAGGTCTAACTCGATGACACATAACAACAACAACAATCCATACTGCCAATTTATTCTCCAAAAGCTGTTTCAGATTTTCCTCAAGGATCATATCAACACCTCCTCCAACTCAAATCTCAAGTAGGGGAATTACATGATCAGATTTGCATATCAGTAAAGCTATACGGAGCTCTGGTAGCATAGTGGCTAAGACACTTGCCTGCTAACCAGATGGCTGGCGGTTCAAACCCACCAGCCACTCCTCGGAAGAAGGTTGGGCAATCCTACTTCCGTAGTGATACTGCCTCGGAAACCCAAGGAGGGGTCGCTATGAGTCGGGTTTGACTCGACGGCACATAACAACAACAACAACAAAGCTATACAGGCAGCAGGATACTACACATGATGGAGAATACTACATTGAGGAGCAGGCTGGAGAAAAACAAGTTGAAAAAATTCTAAGCCTAAAACATCAGACTGAAAAGTGGCAAAATTGATTAATTTTGAGATAGTAAGGCAGTAGAGTTTATCAACTCTAGCTGTTTAATGAACCACCCAAAACTAGAGCTACTGTTCATTCAGCTTGTGATTGGTAATTTGGGTTCGGTTCCACTCTGCAGTTCTTCTGACTGTGGCTAATCTCATGCATCCGTGGCTGGCTGAGAGCTAGCTGGTGCAGGACGGCGTCAGCTGGAGTGGTTCACCTGCTCCATATGATCTCCTCTGGCAGGCCAAGCTGAGCTTGCCCACATTCCAGCTAAGCAGGATTCTAATAAAGCGTAAGTGTGTAAGCTCAGGCCTATACCCCAAGTCTGCATAATATCACTACTGCCATTCTTTTGAGAAAATCAAGTCACAAGTTAGCCAACATTTGAGGAACAGAAAACTGGTGAATTTCTTGATGGGAGGAGTTTCAAAAGCTACATTGCAAATGGCATGGGTACCTGAAGTGGGGGAGAACTACAGGCAATTTGGAGTTGCCAGAATTGCTGAATAATGACAATGAAACTTCTAGGGAAGTAGTGAAATACAAGTTGAGTTATAGAATTCTGAACTGGTGAAATGAATGTTAATACCATATACTTATTGAAAAGGGTTAGAAAATTCAGTTTGATTTTAAATATCAGTTGGAAATTATTTACTGAAATTTCAAACTCAGATTTTAAGTTTAGAAATTAGACTTAGGCTGGCATAGATTTAAGAGTATAGCTAATATTTGAAGCAATGGGTGTAGAGTCCTGAAGACAGAATCCCAAAGAGAACATTATTTAAAAAAAAAAAGGATGGAAAAAAATTACAACCTAAAAGAGTTTGGCAGTATAAAAACCAAGCAGAAGTGGTTTAAAAACAGCAGAAAATAATTAAGAATATAAAATCTCACAGGATAACCTATCAATTTTACACTGATTAATACTCCATTTATTTTGGCAAGTAATTGATTAGTGAGAGTAGGTGAGGTAACAGGGGGTGAAAAAAAAACAAAACTAAACCCACTGCCTTTGAGTCGATTCTGACCCACAGTGACCCTACAGACCAGAGTACAACTGCCCCACAAGGGTTCCAAGGCTTTATGGAAGCAGACTGCTACATCTTTCTCCCATGGAGAGGCTGGTGGGTTCAAACCACCAATCTTCCGGTTAGCAGCTGACTGCTTTAAACACTGCGCCACCAGGGATTCTGTAAAAGGAAAAAGAAGCCATATATTGAGGATATTTGTTAATGGTTCACTGAAGTGAAGGATCACAGAGACTGGGATAAATTGAGATGAAAATGAAGACAGTAGAGGAAGGACACTGGAGAGAGACCAGAAATAAATAAATAAAACTGACTGAGGTACCCTCCCACACTCCTGTTTCAGTTGTTCCAAATATCTGTTTACACACCCTTAGTGTCTCACTAATTTTTTCACAGCACTCGTAGGCCAAAAAGAAATACTTCAGAGGTTCATTTATTAAATAGCTCCTAATAACTTATTGTTTATACCCTAGCAACTTGGCTCCAATCGGGCACAGAACAATTACTCAAACTCTAAAATCAGATTGGACACCACCATCTTCATTTTCTGTTACAAATTTTTACATGATATTTGCCTTTTTATCACCAAAACCAAACAAAAGCCACCGCTACAGAGTGGATTCCAACTCACAGCCACCCTACATGTCTTTGGAAAGAATGTAGCAATCTAATAAAGTAAGTAACTCCTGGTGTCTAACAAACATGGCTGTGATTTCCTCAAACCTACAGCAACCCTGTGAATTCTCTGTGGTTCTCTGGGGCATTTCAGTTCACAGTTTGGGGACCACAGCCCTGTCACTTCTTAGTTTTCTCCATAATACTTATCACCCCCCTTCAGAATATGAGCTCAAGAGGGTAGAGTTTTCGTCTTTGAACACTGCTGTAGCCTCAGTTTCCAGAATGATGCTTGGCAAGCGGAAGATTCTCAGTAAATATCTGTTGAAAGAATGACTAGGTGCAGTGGGAGTAAGGCCCTGATCAAGCTGTTAAGTAGCAACAAAAGCACGGGATGTTATAATCCAAAATTTCAGATGTGGAATAGTTTTAAATAAAGTGAAGGCTTAAATATAGCCATGACTGTTGTTGTTGTTGTTGTTATGTGCCATCGAGTCAGACCTGACTCACAGTCTGACTTGAGTTTCCGAGGCTGTATCATTACAGCCTAGATTTCCCAACCTTCCTTCTGAGGAGTGGCTGGTGGGTTTGAACTGCCAGCCTTCTGGTTAGCACTCAAGTGCCTTAGGCACTAAGCTACTAGAGCTCCTTAGTCATGACTACAGGTGGTTAAATGTGTGTAAGTTAATAATGTCAAATAATCATTAGCCTACTGGATAAGTCAACCACATGGGTACTGAGGTCACCAAAATGATGACTAGACTTGAGATGAAGAGGTGTGAGGCAGGCGCCAAAGAACAGAAAGAACAGGGAAGTATAACCAAAAAGGAACCACAAAGGAAAGATCTTAAGTGATGATGGCCTAGCGATGGTTTGACAGGGACCACAGGGGGGCTGCTACGCCACAGTGAATTTATAAAAGAATCCACAGCTCCCAAGACTAGGGGAAGCAGTGTCCTCACAGGTGTTATGTTTCTGTTAGGCAAAAAGATGAAAAAGATAGTACTGTAATGAGTTTGAGGATATAAATTATTTGTTCATAATGAAACAGGATTTCGGAATACACAACTAGATTTTAAACTCCTTGAGAACAGGGGCTTCATCTTATTACCTGTTGTATCCCTGGAGACAGTGATAACATAGAGACTATTATTTATTACGTGACAGGCTGCCTATCTTTCAATGTAAAAAAAGACCAACTGATAAACTGACAGAGTGACTCAAAGACGGAAGGAAAAAGAGACTAAGAGGCCTGGAAGCCACACATACAGAACCTATGAGACAGCAAAACTAGAAAGAGAAAACACGAACCATTTTCAAAGAGCTGACATAAATGCATCTGCATCTGAAATTAATCACTTCAGTACCTCAGAATAAACATCCATAACTAAAGTTGCCAATCATTTTAGCACATTTGGTTTCAAAATTCATAATGTTTGTTTTATGATGTGACTGGGCCTATCATTTGATTGTTTTAGTTTATAAATCAACTTAAGTGTAAGAAAATTCTATGAAAGCGTTATCTCCCCAACCATTAGGTGATAGATGAGATTCTCAAGGAAACTATAAATTATTTAATTTAAGATGTCATTTCTTATTAACAAACAGTGTAGAAATGTGTTATACTTTGTATAATCTATTACACAAATGATGTATAATAATACCTCTTACAGCTTCTCTTTAATCTTTCATTGTGAATAAAAGTGACTCAAGGAGGAGGGACTTCCAAAATAATCATCATATATGTATTATGAGAGTAGAAATAATGTAACTTGCAGAATGCTAATCCTGTTTTAATTCCACGTCTATCATAATCATGATATGCTTATCTGATGACACTACAGAAAAGTCACAAGGCTAATGCCTATGCAAGGATAGCATTATAAGCAAATCTACATACAAAAAAATTTCAGCAAAATTCCAGAAATTTATCCATTTTAGAGCTCTTCTTTCTTGTTTAGGGCAAACATCAAATCCTTTCCAGAAAGTAATGTTATTCTAATAATGTTGTAAAGTTTTGTCTTCTAGTGATCCTGATCCATATATTTCAGAAAGCACTCATAACATCCAAAAATAAAAGAACATTTCATTAACAGTAGGTATTCTCAAAGCCTAAAAGCTGAATATTTTTTTAAAAATCCACTGATAGTTAAATAAGGGGCCCAATCTTTAGCATCTTTGTTAGGTTTTATATCTAGACTAAAATTCTGGTTTTGTAGGTTCCGTAATACTAAATTGCCTGTTGGGTTTAGTGGCTTCTTGCATCAGTTCCTTCAACTGTCCAATTTGTTCATCACGGAAGTCATTAAGTTTTTCTTCTGAGAGGGCAGTTCCAAAGCACGCTTTTTTGGTTGAATTTTGTCTGCTTTCATTAGCTTGTTGACACAGCACTGCTGCATATACCTAGTGAAAAAAAAAAGAAAAGAAAGAAAATTTAGGGCTACAGATAAAAAACTGAAACAAGATCTGTTTTTATTTACTTAATGTTGGAAGGCTTGAAGAACTCTAATTACAAGTCACTTATTTTTCTCCATCACTGAGTCTTCTTCATTTGTTGTTGAAGACACAAACAATATAATTATGTCTCTACTATTCAGTGATAATTTCAAATATATCAACTTTTAGCACTTTGAGAGTTTTTATAACATTTAGCAAAGTTTTTAACCTGGAGATCCAGTCAAGGGGCCCATGGATGGATTTCAGAATCATGTATAAAGGACCCAAAATCACATGCAAAATAGTATATAGATAAGCATGGAAAAATTTCTGGGGCCATAGCTTTTATCTGTTTTCAAAGGAGGACATAAGTGTTATAGGCTTAAAAGTAGGTCTCAGGAGTCATTAAGTTCATTTCTCTGTCTTCAATTAAAATCTAATTTAAATCACATTAGGGAGAGAAACTTTTTAAATCTTTAAACTTTCAATATTTAACAACTACTTCTGTCAGGGAAGTGGAAGGAGGATTGGGCAATCTACTTCCATAAGGATTTACCTCCTCAGAAACCCAAAGGGGGTCGCTATGAGTTGGAATTGACTCAACAGCAGTGAGTTTGGTTTTTGTTTGGTTCTGTCAGGGAAAGGTGTTCTAGTGGCACTGAGGTTAAAGCACAGGGCTGCTAACCAAAAGGCCAGTGGTTCAAACTCACCAGCTGCTCCACGGGTGAAAGATGAGGCAGTGTGCTTCCATGAAGATTTACAACCTTGGAAACCCTATAAGGCAGTTCCTACTCTGTCCTATAGAGTCACTGTAAGTCAGAATCGACTCGATAGTAGTGGGTCTGGTTTGGTTTGGGCCAGGGACAAAGTCTTTCTCGTGTTGTAATTTTTCTCTCGTTTGGTCACCACCTTCAGCAAAATATTCCAACTATTATTGTCTGTACAAGTGCCAATCTTTTTAAACAGACTCTCTTTACAATTAATCTTCTAATCAGGTAAGAAGTAGCAATGTATTTCAGTTCATGAGTTGAAAGACTATAGGCACACTCTGGGTAAGTGAATGAATTGGTTAACTAGGGATGACAGTGCTACTCAATCTGATTTGAGATAGTTGAACTGCTTATAATTGCTGGATTGCCAGTGTCACCAAAAAGAACACTCAACTTTAATTTCAGATATTCCATATCTTTTACTAGACTGAAAATATTTTCATGTTCTACAGAAATTGGGTTTTTTTTCCATAACAAAACATAAACAGTACACACACCTTAAGCTACTAACTTTACTTCTAGGTACATGCCACAGAGCAAGTTTTCTCTACCTTGGCACTACTGACATTTTAGATAATTTCTATAATTCTTCATTAAGCACAGGGGGCAGGAGGAGTCTGTCCTTGCATTGTAGTATGTTTAGCAGCATCCCTGGTCTCTTCACATTAAGTGCTAATGGCACTCTCCATCCAGTCTTGACAATCCATAATATTTCCAACATTGACAAATGACCCCTGAAAGGCAAACTCACCCTGGTTGAAAACCACTGCCCTCTACAGAAATTTTCAAATATGTGTATAAGGAACATGCTCAAGAATGTTTATTGTGGCAATGCTTGATAAAGCAAAAAGTTATAAACAATATAATTGTGCTTCAGTAACAGAAAAGGAGCTCTGGTGGCACAGTGCCTAAGGCACCTGACTGCTAACCAGAAGGCTGGCGGTTCAAACCCACCAGCCACACCTCAGAAAGAAGACTGGGCAATCTACTTCCCCGCTGAAACCCAAAGAGTGGTTGCTAAGAGTTGGATCCAACTCAACGGCAGTGAGTTTGGTTTTTGAGAGAAAGGGCAAATGTACTGAGATTTATTGAGACAACGAAGGAAGGTTGGGCAATCTACTCCGTAGTGATACTGTCTTGGAAACCCAAGGAGGGGTCGCTATGAGTCGGGTCCGATTCCATGGCACATAACAACAACAACAATGGCAAATGAATTTAATGTCTATGCATCACCAAGGATAAATCTCCAAAACAAATAGAATAAAAAAAGTAGGTTTAAAAAAGTTATGCAGTGCGGTACGCTTCCACTAATAGTGAAGTAATTTTATCAGACCAACCCTCCTGCAGATAACATTATGAACTCTGGGCAAAATGTAACAAAACTAGCAGTCCAAAAGCACTGGAAAGCAACCAAAGTCAGGAAGAAAGTAAAGGAGTTGACACTTTGCACATGAGAATAGCAGAGGGAATTGAGTGATACTCCCGTATTTAGAGCTTTTTGATGCCAGTTAGTGCTAAAAAGTCTGTGTAATGTATCATTCACAGTGTCTGGGAAAAAACTCCAAAATTACTAGAAACATAAATATGCAACTACAGTCAAGAGAAAAGGCCAAACCTGAAAGAGAGTCCAACCCTGATATGATTCAGATATTAGAATTAGTATATATATATATAATTTATAATAACAGGTATTATAAATATCAGGAGCTTCAGATATTAGAATTAGTGTGTGTATGTATGTATGTGTGTGTGTATATATATATATATATATATAGGAGCTCTGGTAGCATAGTGCCTAAGGCACTTGACTGCTAACCAGAAGGCCGGCGGTTCAAACCCACCAGCCACTCCTCGGAAGGAAGGTTGGGCAATCCTACTTTCGTAGTGATACTGCCTCGGAAACCCAAGGAGGGGTTGTTATTAGTCGGGGCCGACTCGACGGCACACAACAACAACAAATATATATATACATAAAATTAGCACAGGTATTATAAATATCAGGAGCTCTGGTGGCATAGTACCTAAGGCATCTGACTGCTTATCAGAAGAATGAAGGTTCAAACCCACCAGTCACTCCTCGGAAGGAAGATTGGGCAATTTACTTCCGTAGTGAAACTGCCTTGGAAACCCAAGGAGGGGTCGCTATGAGTCGGATCTGACTCGACAGCAGTGAGTTTGGGTTTTTTTTAATTGTAAATATGCTCAAAATATGTGAAGAAAAATATGGTAATGATGAATCAATAAATGAGAAATCTCAGCAATGAGAAAGTATAAGATCATTTACATTTTTAGAACTCAAAAATGCAATATTAAAACCAAACCCACTGCCACTGAGTTGATCCCAACTCATAGTGACCCCCTATAGGGTTTCCAAGGCTGTATATCTATATGGAAGTAGATTGCCCCATTTTTCTCCCAAGGAGCAGTTGGTGGGTTTGAACCACTGACCTTCTGGTTAGCAGCCAAGTCCTTTACCCACTATGCCACCAGAGCTCCTTAAAAATGCAATACACAAAATTAAAATAAAAGAAAGAAAAACTCATTGAGTAGACTTAAGAGCAGACTGGAAATAAAGAAAATGTAAACTTGAAAATAATATCAACAGAAATTCGTCAATCTGAAAAATGACACAAAAACTATTATAAAGAAAATCTCAATGATCTGTAGGGCAATATCAAAAGAGCTAATATATGTCTAATTGGAATTCCAAAAGAAAAGAGAATGAGACAGAAAAAATACTTGAAAAGCAAACATCTGAAAAATAAACATACAAATTCAAGACGCTTAGCAAGCTTTAAACCACCAGCTTCTGGTTAGCAGTCAAATACCTTGGGCACTAAGAGGTAGGTATAAGAGCTAGTAAAGTAACTATGGTACATCTATTTTGTACATATATACTGTATCTATATATCTAAGCAGGATAAATAAAAAATAAAACCACATTGAGGCACCTTATAGTCAAACTGCTAAAAGGAGTAATAAATCAACAATCTTGAAAAAGTTTATGAATAGTATGACTCTTTTTATAGGTTTTTAAAACAAAGCATTATTTATTTTAATATATTAACACATATTATTTATGAATACAGACTATTTGGGGCTTCTAGTACTGCTCTAACAGAAAATACCTCAAATGGATGGCTTTAACAAACAGGAATTTATTCTCTCACAGTTTAGGAGCCTAGAAGTCCAAGGTCAAAGTGACAGCTCTAGGAGCTGAGTGAAAGCCCCTCAACAGCTCTCTGCCTCTTGCTCCCAGCCCACTGAAGCTAGAAGCTTCTCTTAACTCAGGCAGCTGCTGGCTACTGAAGCTGACAAACTCAAGGTCGACAAGTAAAAGGGTTGTTGTTGTTGTTGTTGTTGTTGTTGTT